TCCATGGAAAGTGGCTCGTACCTTGGTCAGAACCATCGACATCTCAGGAGTACGTGTGGTGAACCTTTGTGATCAGGAACAGATTATAGAAAAAGGCACGCTGTTTGGTACTTGTGTGGATTGGTTGCGTCGATGCCAATATTTATCGACTGGGACCCGCAACGAGAATGCACAAAAGAGAGTGACCACACTTTTAGAACACTGTCGCAGCGTTCTCTCCCCGAATGAAATGGTCAAGGCGAAGAAGTTATTACTCAAGTACGCCGATGTTTTCTTGTCAAACAATGCTGACACAGAAAAGACTGGCTTATTATAAAACAAAATAAACACAGGAGAAGAATTGCCTATCCGTCAACGGCCAAGAAAATTGCCGGTAGCACTTGTATCGGAAGTGGAAATCACGATTGAGGGAATGGTGAAGGATGGTGTTATTGAACCTTTATCTAGTCCATGGTGTTCAGCTGTGGTGCTGGTAAAGAAGACGGACGGTAGCATGCGGTTTTGTGTTGATTGCCGCTGTCTGAGCGACGTTACGAAGAAGGACAGCTATCCCTTGCCAAGAATTGATGACACGCGGTACATGCTTACAGTAGTAAAGTGGTTTAGCACGCTGGTCTGAAAAGTGCCTACTGGCAGGTTGAAATTGATTCTAAGTACAAGGAGAAAACTGCACTCTCGACAGGAAAAGTTCTGTGGCAATTTAAAGTTATGCCGTTTGGATTGTGCAATGATCCAGCAACGTTTGAAAGGTTGATGGAGCTTGTAATTACCGGGCTAATTGGCGATGCCTGTTTGGTCTACTTGGATGACATCATCATCGTAAGCCGTACGTTTGAGGAACACCTTCAAAACCTGGAACGCGTGCTCATGAAGATCCAGAGTGCCAACCTCAAGTTGAGTCCGAAGAAATGTTCACTATTCAAACGGCAAGTTAGCTTTTTGGGGTATGTAGTGTCGGTAGAAGGTATCCGCACGAATCCAGTAAAAATCACCGCTGTTAAGGATTGGCCGGGTTCAAAAGACAAGACGCAGCTTAGAGTATTTTTTAGTTTGTGCTCCTATTATCGGCGATTTGTAAATAATATGGAACTTGGCGGTGTGTTGTCTCAACGGAATGGTGATCAAGAGTTTGAATTTAATTAAACATTTTTATTCAAATCATATTTTAACAATATCTTAAATTACAATGTCACAAATTCATTAATATCATAATTTTTTTGTTAATTAACCAATGGTACAGTCTCTTTTAAAATATATTCATATTACGTAGTGTTTTAATTTCGTAGGGTATTTTGTTGTATATACTAGCATTGATAAACAGCATTATTTACTATAATATTTAGTTGACTTCGGATTTTTGCTTACAGCTAATCTATTCGGATTTCTTTTAAGCCTAATGACGGCTCCGTGGCACAGTGGCTTAGGAATGAGTTGCGGCGCTGAGGGCCGCGGGTTCGAACCCCGCACGAAACATGTATTTGTATGGCCTACGAATATTTTTTCCCGGTCTGGATATTTGTCCTTGTGAAATTTATGTATGTAAATCACCCCAACGATACAGAAGAAAATCCTAGTGTGGAGGTAACGTTTTAAAAAAGTTTTTAGAGGACTTTTTAAATAAATCTGTAAGCTCTTTTGCAAATTTACATATTTCAAAAATGTATATCGATGGTAGAATTAGTAAACAAAGATTTTTAAATATTGGCTTCTCTAAAATAAACTTTATTACTTACATATTATAATGGCAGTCAGCTATATCAAATAAACTGCAGAAATAAAATTAAAACAATTTTGTCGGTAGTAATTATATAAACAATAATTTAAATTTGTATGAGCTACATCAGAACTCCCACCATAAAAATATACTTTTATGCATGCAATCCATTAGACAGAGATGCAATCCAGTTTAAGTGTCACTCAAGTAACTCGATTTACCGTTGTATTAAAATTGCCAAAGCAACTGAGTTATTTTTTGTGTGGAATCCAATTCTTTAGTGCACTATCCATCTTCTTTTTTTAATATCTTTGGGTGGAGTATAAAGCGCGTCTCACGAAAAAATTCCCTTCGCCGTAATATTGATAGCACGGAAATCTGTGCTGCTACATTTTGAGCAATGAAATTACTTAATATTATAGAGATTTGTCAATTACATTATTTTTATAAACTATCTGCTAATTTTGATTTCTACTTTTAGAACTCTGTAAAAATTATTTTTGATTTAATTATACTGCTACACAGGAATTCTGCACACTTTATTGGGTTGCAAGGAAAGAGCCTCCTCAAAAGTCGAAAGCAGAGATTGTCGAGCGCGCTCTGAGCAGTCAGTAAGTGATAAACTAATATATTATATATATAACTGGTTAGTTTAATTTTTTCACCACGTCATAAGCTTACCCTTTGGGGTTAGTTACAGCTACAGAACAATTATAATTACAAGATTTTATTATTAATTTTATAGCTTGTTAGTTTCCTCTTAGTAGTCTGTGCTATACATGCTGTAACTATATAGAGGCTCAGAAGGGCTAGAACCCAGAGCCTTAAACCCAGTTATTAAAAAAACTATATAATTATTAATCTGTGCTGTTACCAGTGTGACCATATATGGCAGGTTCCTGCCATTTTGGTAGGATTGGCCTCTTACTTTAGCCTCTGGCATGATCGGTTGACGTTTTATAAAACCTGGCAGTATTTGGCACTATTGGGGTATTAAAAATAAAATGCATTAAGGTACCTAAAAATATCGAAAATATAGCGACCCCAGGTACTTTGCCAGCATGTGGGGGATGTTCCTGTACTTCTAGTGTCGTTTGTATTAAATTCAATAAACAACTTTAAGAGTTTGTGTGTAAAGTTGATAATTTTAAACGCGTATTCATAAACACGAGCTTATGGTTAATATTTCAATCAGTCGTAAAAGAGACGTACTTTAGTTTGGTGTCGCATTAGATTTCGTGGTAATATTATCTTTTTAGCGATATCTTGATAATAATATTTCGTGGACAATAGTAATTATTAGCGGTGGTGATGAAGCGAAAATTTGAAAGGGCGTTTAGAGCTAAGTGGGAGCAAGGTCCATTACTTTCATCGTGGATCTTCAAAACTAAAGATGATCCACACTGTGTAACTGCAAATTAGCATCCCGGCTGTCTGTTTTAAAGGAGTATGCCGCTACTAGTAAACATCAAGAAAATATGAGTGGATTCAGCATGCGAAACAATATTGTCTCAAATAAATTTAATTAAGACAAAACACGAAACAGATTTAGATATAAACAAACATCGCGTCTATCTTATACGCAAAACTAGTCATTGGTGAGCATGGCGATTGCATTGCATTCAAACCAACGAAATATATGTTTAATTTTTTAATTTAATTTAATTTATCTTCACGCACAATCCCTGACGGGGTAGCCAGAGAGAACAGATCGCCAAGTGTCACGATCCTTACATACCTCTTTCGTTTCTTTCAGATTCATTATCTTCTTCATACATGCACGTCTAGGTATCCGAGTACTCTTGACCCTCCTCTCTTCGAGCAATTTGCTCACATATTCTTCAAAAGTTAGTCTCGGTCTACCTCGACACCTTTTAATATTTACTTTCGCGCTATATATTTTGATTGGTTGATTGATGATTGATCTATATATTATGATTGGCGATCTGCAGTCATTGTGCCTTTATATAAAGGTAAAGGTTCACATTTTGACTGCGGGTGCTATCGGGCGATCAGCTTGACTAGTTTAGCAAGTAAAGTTTACTCGAAGGTTTTGACACGTAGGATGCAAGAGACATCGGAAAGATTTCTATGGGAGGCACAATGCGGATTTATACCTGGAAGAGGATGCACGGATCAAATGTTTTCTCTCCGCATGTTCACGGAGAAGCTTCTGGCTGCTAACCAGAAGATTTTCTGTGCTTTTGTGGATCTTGAGAAAGCATTTGATAAGGTTGTAAGAAACAAAATGTAGGAACTGTTGCCGGGGTATGGTGTGGATGGTCGATTGCTAAGGGCTGTGCAGTCACTTTACTGTGACTGTAAAGCCTGTGTGCGGGTAGGGTATGACCTGTCACCCATGTTTAGCGTCAAAACGGGCGTAAAACAGGGTTGTGTCATGTCTTCCTGGCTGTTCATACTGTATCTCGATAGCTGTTTACAGAAGTTGAAAGATAGCTGTTTGGGTCTGAAATTGGATGACATTAAAGTAAATTGTCTGCTGTATGCTGGTGATGCAGTGCTTATGGCACCATCAGAGGCAGAACTGCAGGCAATAGTCACGTGTATGAAAGAGTAATGTGAAATTAAAGGTCTCCGTTTGAATGCTAATAAAACTAAGGTTCTGATATTTGAAACAAAGTCAATGGTGCCCTGACTGCGTTAGTCAAAAGGCAAGGCGTAGTAAAGAGTGCACGCCTTGCAATACATAACGCAGTGTTGGTACCGACTTTGTTATATGGCAGTGAAACCTGGTTATGCCAGAAGAAGCATAAAAGTAAGTTGAATGCAGTGGAGATGCGATCTCTTCGTAAAATGTGCGGCGTTACCATGGCCGACCGAAAGCGAAACGAAGAGATTCGCAATATGGCAGGTTTGAAAGATGACCTTATCACAAAAATTGATAAGGGCGTGCTTCGATGGTTTGGACACGTTGATCGAATGAGTGAAGACCAAATGGTAAAGAAAATATGTTTAATTTTAATTTAATAAAAATATAGCATTTAAATGTCTATTTTTACTTTTCTAAGTTTAATACAATTACACAATGGTAAATAAAATTGGCAGCATTTAGGCATTTTTCATTACGGACTTTGGCAGATTTGGCAATTTTTTAACCAAAGTAAGGCATGATCTGTATTTTAAAGATGGGCACACTGGCTGTTACTCGGCAATTTTTTGACAGACATTATTAGCATCAGCAAGTTATTGGGTTTTGTTTAGTCATTTGTTGTCGCAACTTATTTTTGCAAAATTGTAAAAGTTGTATTACTATACTAATAAGAAAATGGCACCTGTGGAACAAGATGTTGAAATGAAAAATGTGGATAGCCCTGCAGGGGCAAACGACGTAGAAATGAGTGAAGTGAAAAAAGATGTCGATGTTATAACCGTTCAAGATCTACGGGAACATGTCAGACAAATTGATAAAGCTGTATCGTCTAAGGAACCGCGATTTGCTATGCGAGTGTTGAGATCTATTCCGAGTACTAGGCGAAAATTGAATGGTAATGTTCTTCGTGCTATTATAAACCAACTCTATCCGTCAAGCCCTGAAAAAGAGGCTATACTTGCTCTTGTAGAAAGTCCTTTGCCTGGTGCCGTTGAAATTGAAATCCCTCGCTCTAGAAGCGCCCTGAAAAGTCCAGCTCCAGAAGTTGATGTTTATGTCCATCTGTTAGTATTATTGAGATTATTAGACACCAACAAATTAGAAGAAGCTACTGAATGCTCCCAGCAGTTGATGAATAAAGTAACCGCGCAGAACAGAAGAACTCTTGATTTAATTGCTGCCAAATGTTATTTCTATCATTCACGTGTATTTGAACTAACTAACAAGCTGGAATTGGTACGAGGTTTATTGCATGCTCGTTTACGCACCTCAACTCTTCGTAATGATTATGAGGGACAAGCTGTTTTGATCAATTGTCTCTTGCGTAATTATCTCCATTACTCTCTATACGATCAAGCTGATAAATTAGTCAGCAAATCTGTATTTCCTGAGAATGCCAGTAATAATGAATGGGCAAGGTTCTTGTATTATCTTGGTAGAATAAAAGCTGCAAGACTTGAATACAGTGACGCTCATAAACATTTAGTGCAAGCTTTAAGAAAAGCTCCACAAACCGCAGCAGTTGGATTCCGTCAAACAGTACAAAAATTGGCTATTGTTGTTGAATTGTTGTTAGGTGATATCCCAGAACGTGCTATATTCCGTCAAGCTCCACTAAGAAAAGCATTAGCTCCATACTTCCAATTGACTCAAGCCGTAAGACTAGGAAATCTACAAAGATTTGGAGAGGTACTTGAAAATTATGGACCACAGTTCCGCACTGATCATACTTTTACTTTGATCTTAAGACTAAGACAAAACGTCATTAAGACAGCTATCCGTTCTATTGGTCTGTCATATTCTCGCATATCACCAAAAGACATAGCAAGAAAGCTAGGCTTAGATTCTGCTGAGGACGCAGAATTTATTGTTGCAAAGGCCATTAGAGATGGTGTTATTGAAGCTACTCTTGACCCAGAAAAGGGATACATGAGCAACAAAGAAAGCTCTGATCTGTATTGCACCAGGGAACCTCAACTGGCCTTCCATCAGCGTATTTCATTCTGTTTGGAGTTACATAATCAGAGTGTTAAGGCAATGAGGTATCCACCCAAATCATATGGAAAGGAATTGGAAAGTGCTGAAGAACGCCGCGAAAGAGAACAGCAAGATCTTGAGCTTGCTAAAGAGATGGCTGAGGAGGATGATGATGGTTTCCCTTAGAATGCATCACTTTATTTTCAATACATAAGTAATACATTAGTGATGGAAGTTATTTAAGAATGTAATTTGTGTTTTTGAATATAGAACAAATAAAAATATTAATAAAAGAGACTTATTTCTATTAAGGTACCATTATAGTAATTTAAACCTGTTCTAAACCTCTGTAAATCTACTGAAAAATAAACAAATGTAGTTAAAGCACAAAAGCATATTATTTTATTAAAATTGAACCTGCATACAAGTTCTGAATATTTATGAAGACAGTAATGTGAATAGTAATTGGATATTTAAATTTGTACCTTTCAGAGATTCCGTTATTAAACCATGTAAAAGCATATCAAATGAAAATATATTTTTAAAGGTCATGTAAAAACCTTAAAAAATATGTAACTAATTCTTATTTATGTTATAAAAAAATTAATAGTTCAAGCACAAGTGCCTGCTGAGTCACCTTATGAGGTTAATGTATTTTGTTTTAACAATTTGCCCACTATAGTACTTTCGTGTTTATGAAGTTGGAATTACAATAGCAGAACATTGAGACCTAAGATATATTATCAAAAATTACTTTTTATACTTACACAGTACTACAAGACAATGTTAAGCAATGAGAAGTTTCAAGTTATAAACTTACATTAAAGATCTTATTTTTGTTAGTAAATTAGGACTGACTGTCTGTCTTTTTTTTTGATTTCCTTATTGTAACTTCCATTAAGAATATAATATCTATAAATATAAATAAAATTGAAGTGTCTGTCTGTAATATTGGAATAATTCTTTTAAGTTCAAAGAGTTATTTGTATGCTATTCAGATATAAACAAATTTTAAAAATTTTTGTCTGCCTGTCCAGGCTATTCTAAAAAATAGCTGAACTGATTGTGATGAAACTTTACAAACAGATAGAGATCAATTCCAAGAGAGATTGAGGCTATATTTCATATGAAAAATTTAGTTTTTTTTTGAGAAAAACGAAAAATTGATAGAATAAATTGACTTTGTTAATCTCCTTAAATAAGGTCACATTAATAGGTCCTACCCAGGAGAAGCCGGGGCGGGTCGCGAGTTTAAAAGTAATTTTCACAGAAATAAGCAGTCAATCGAAACATTTTACTTGGTTACTAAAATTGTATATCTCCATCCGACTTGCTAAATCCTTAAAGTGAAAACTTATTGGGGCCACTTCATATTATTAAATAATTTTTATTAACTCATAATTATAGACCATTGCTAATCATGGACCTCCCACATAGCTGGAAGAATTTGTCACAATTTACACATTCTGTATGCAATTTAACTATTACAAGAACAGATCAGACCTCTGGCACTTTTTATGTAACTCCTTCTTTTTTCGAGACCTAATTATACCCTTCTTCCCCTTAACATGGTAGTGTAATAAAATAAGAAACCATCCCAGGAGGGTATCAGCACCCCTAGTATTGGAGAATCCATAGCTGAGCATCCACGCCCAAATACTCTTCTATAGCGCGGGCGCTCAGGCTGCCTCGCGTATCCTGTGGAGAGAGGGGAGGGCAAAATTCCGCTCCAGACTAGTACTGCTCGTGGCGAGTAGAGCAATAAGACAAAGGCGACCCTGCCACGCTATCCGTGAATTTCTTCAACATCAGGGGATTTTATTCTAACCCTAACGAAGTCCACTAGGTACCATCTGAAGACGGCGAAGCCGACCTTGCTCTTTCTAACCGAGACGCGGGTGTCCTCTCCGGTCGATACTTTTCTCCTGTCTGTTATACAAATTATAACACATTTGTACCTCAGGCTGGAGTTTGCGTATACGTCAGGGAAGACACCTGTTCTCGACGCCTCGGCAGTCTTGAAGGTCAGCGACGACCATCCTAGCGTCTACGGGTGTCTACATAATGCTGACACAGACTAACTCATCGACCACGTCCAAATCACTGCAGACTCCTTGCTACAACAGGTGCCATCTGCAGAGATCGTTATCCTTGGTGATTTTAACGGCCACCATGCTGAATGGCTTGGTTCTCGTTTAACCGATCATGCGGAAAGATCTGTTTATGACTTTACCTTGGCATATGGTCCGAGATAAATGGTTACTTCAGCTACGCGGATTCTAGATGTGGAGGATCGTGCACCTTCCCTGTAGAACCTTCTGCTGACCTCTCATCCGGACGGAAATCAGGTCTCCGTCGACGCCCATCTTCGCTCATTGGACCTTTGGCCGATCCAGACTGGTGCCACTCACACTTCCATCGCGGTTTCGTTCTGCAGATCACGGCGTGTTTTGCACTATAGGTCGACCGATTGGGATAAGATGCAGATGCCTTTTTTTGCATCCTTCCCTTGAAGACAGGGGAGAGTATACTTCTCTATGGATGATTCCAACGGGATTCTGTCGCTGATGTGGTACTTCAGGGAATGGAACTCTTTATTCTATCATCTGTAGTGCCTGGTTTGGTCGCGCTATAATATGATTGCTTCATCAGCGCTGTTAAAAAGAAGTATAATTTCGCCTTCAGGTCGATACAATACGGTTTGCACAGCGCTCGGTGCGCATAGCACTACTCTCCCTAGACGTCAAGTTGAGTGGGCCTGATGGAGTTCCTCCCATTGTGCTGAAGACGTGTGCTCTCTATTTGGCACCGGTCGTAACGTGTATTTTCTATAACTCTTTCTCCCTAGGTGTAGACCCGAACTCAAGACAGTTTAGTGCACCAGATCAAAAAATAACCGAAAATCGACCGCTCAGACCTATGCAGCTTGTACTCCCTGTACATCCCTGGGCCAGGGTTCCCTAGTACCAGCTCCTTCCACTTGACCGCATCCAGTGCAGAGCGTCTCGAATCGACGACCGACGAAGATGAAAGACGACACGAAGAGATGTTGCATCCCTTTGCATTTTCTATCGCATTTTTCTACGGGTTGTTCAAAGGAATTGTTCGGATTAATTTCAGCCACAAAATTTCATCAACGCATTTCCCAAATCCACATCATCGGGATGTTTGGCGGGCCACTACTATCGGTCCTTACCGACTTAGGGAATTTCAAGAAACGAGCTTACTACTTTTTAAAAGCCGACAATGCGCCTGCAATTCCCCTGATGTTGTATTTGTTAATAGGCGGTGGTCGACACTTGCCATCTGGTGAGCCGCATGCTCGTTTGTCCCGCTCTTCTATTTAAAAAAGACAATAAAACGAAATAGACAATTAATTACCAATCTCTCATCAAATAAAAAAAATCTTTAACAATGTTATATTTATTTTCTGGAAGTGGGAGTAATTTTTGTGATTTCAGTTCGAGCCGTTAGCGGTCAGGGGCCAAAAAGTTAAAACTCGAAAATTCTTTATACAACTAGGATAGTACATAATTTTTCGAACGTCGTTCTTGGAGGCCGAGGGGCCCCTTTACCTTGGGGGCTCCGGGGCATTGCCCCGCCTAGCCTCTGGGTAGCTAGCCACTGTTATGATGATTAACTAAGTTCACAATAATGTCCTTCAGATCGTATTTCGCTCACGGTGGTCGGTCTTGATTTAAAAATATTTATCGAGTAGTCTCTAATTTAACATATCTAAAAAGAAAGTAAATAAAATAAATAGTAAATGAAGTAAAAGGCAGCCTCTTGGTAGACAAATAGGTGTAATTTTCTACCGACTTCAAAAAGGAGCCGGTACTCAATTCACTGTATGTTTTTTTTTATGTGTGTTACCTCATAACTTTTTACTGGGTGAACCGATTTCGATGATTCATTTTTTATTTGAAAGCTGGTGCTTCACATGTATTCTCAAATAAATTTGATCAAGGTCTGACCAAAATCTGTTTTTGAGTTATTCTTAATAATTTATATTGAAGTCGGTTGTACAACATTTTTAATTTTTAATTATATTGCATTACTTTTGGATGTCTACAGGAGGGATACATTAACACCGGTAGTCTTTATTACCGATACTCAGTAGGCGTGGAGCAGTGGTCTGGTGGTGTTGTTCTTCAAGAAAGGCGACGATAACCCTTTATTGAAGAACAAACCGCGTCTACGTGTTTTGAGAGTCATTACGAATCATTTAGTTTTCGTACGCAGATTTGACGAATTCTAGTTTCTCGTACAAGCCGAAAAGCCTTTATCACAATATAAATACCACTTATATATCCTTCGGCGAATTGTACGGAAGATCAAAGAGTACAATCTGCCACTTTGTCTCTAGATGAAGTGACGACGGTAAGACTTGCTGGAATTCGATGGATGCAAGTGGTACTGGGACCGGTATTCCTTTAGGGAAGCTTTTGTTCAACAGTGGACTTGTGAAAATCTGTAACGATGAATGATGAAAATGATGATCATAGAATTTTCAGTGTTCCCCATATTATAGTATTATTTATATATTGTTAAAATGCATAGATGTATGATGTAATGTATGAAATATATTACTATAATTTTTGTAATCTTTATTATCTCATGATTTTTTAAATTAAATGTATGGTTTAAATTATTTCTAGTAACCTAACTCTCCAATAACTATCCTATGGGTAGTCTAGTTTTCTAATATAGTATTTTTTTCAAAGGAGAGGGAGCAAACAAAGATGCGGCTTGCCAGATAATAAGGGTCATATTATAATTGGACCTACTTACGCAAAACGGAATCAACCCACACAATGACAGTTTTGAGAAAAAGCTGTTTATGTCGAAATTTTGTATTCATCAAATCTTTTTGTTATTTTGAATAAAGTTTATATACAATATTGTAGGAAATAATTTATTCTATGTTTACAAACATAACATTGATGAAAATCATTAACATTTTTAATAATAATTTAAAAAGAACTCATTGGTTCCTTTTAGCAAAACTATCTGTGTGTGGGTTGGTTCCTTGTTAATTTATTGCGTTGCCATAATTTTGTAGTAAAAATAATAAATCTTATATTTTCTTTTATCATTTTACTAAAAAACGAAAACAAATATTAAATAATTCTTCTAATATAATAATATGTAACATAAAAATGTTAAGAATTACAAAAATGTTTAGTACCAAACAATTACTTAATCAAAATCAAATTTTATTCTACTTCAAAATCAAGTTGACCCGAAAAACCTTCAATATCGTCTTCTAAATCAGCACTTCCGACAAGTTTCACATAAAAATCGTGCGAGTCTTGCGGAATCAGGTGTAGCATGCTTTTTAAATCCCTTAACTTCGCTTCAGGGACAGGTTTCCCTGTTGGCCAAAGTGGCTCCATTATCTCTTTCGTTACAAAACATTGTCTTCCACGAACATTTTTTTTTATATTCACGACCTTGAAATCTTCATCCAAATTAGTTTTCATATAAATTTTGAACATTTCATCCTTTTTAATCATGATTTCTTTAGTATTTAGTAGATGACGGGGGGAACACACCGCCGACCATCCCGCGATGTGAGTGCTCCATGCCGGATGTGCGATTTACACAGCGCTCGGTTCGCAAAGCACTCTTCTCCCTGGACGTCAGCAAGTCGAGTGGGCCCGATGGAGTCCCTCCCATTGTGCTGAAGACGTGTGCTCCGGAGTTGGCACCGGTTTTAACGCGTCTTTTCCGGTACTCCTACTCCCAAGGCGTAGTCCCGAATTCATGGAAGACAGCTTTGGTCCACCCGATCCCTAAAAAAGGCGACCGCTCAGACCCGTCCAACTACAGGCCTATCGCCATCACCTCCTTGTTCTCCAAAATAATGGAATCCATTATAAACTGCCAGCTCATGAGGTACCTTGAGGATCACCAGCTGATCAGTGACCGTCAGTACGGTTTTCGTCGGGGTCGATCAGCAGGTGATCTTTTAGTTTACTTAACTCATAGATGGGCGGAGGCAGTAGAGTCCAAGGGGGAGGCATTGGCCGTTAGTTTGGACATAGCGAAGGCCTTCGATCGGGTCTGGCACAAGGCGCTTCTTTCGAAGCTTCCTTCCTATGGGCTTCCCGAGAAATTGTGCAAATGGATCACCAGTTTCCTTGCTGATCGGAGCATCAAGGTCGTAGTAGACGGTGCATGCTCTGATTACAAGCCTATCAACGCTGGTGTTCCACAAGGCTGCGTGCTATCACCAACGCTGTTTCTCCTGCATATCAATGATATGCTGCTAACTGGTAGCATTCATTGCTATGCAGACGACAGCACTGGGGATGCCTTATATACCGGCCGTGCCAATATTTCTCGGGAAAACGTCGCCGAGTACCGGGACAAACTTGTGTCTGAAGTCGAGTCTTTGCTTAACAAAGTCTCGGATTGGGGCCGACTAAATCTAGTCCAGTTCAATCCCCAGAAGACACAAGTTTGCGCGTTTACCGCTAAAAAGAACCCCTTTGTCGTATCTCCTCAGTTTCAAGGCACTCCCCTTGCTGCCTCAGCCAGTATCGGAATCCTTGGCGTCGACATATCGAATAGCGTGCAGTTTCGTGGTCACTTGGAAGGGAAGGCCAAATTGGCCTCTAAAAAGCTTGGCGTGCTCAGCAGAGCGAGACAGTATTTCATGCCGGCACATCGCTTGCAACTTTACAAAGCGCAAGTTCGGCCCCACATGGAATACTGTTCTCATCTCTGGGCCGGGGCACCCCAGTGCCAGCTCCTTCCACTTGACCGCATCCAGCGCAGAGCGATTCGAATCGTCGACGACCGAGTTCTTTCCGTTCGGCTCGATACACTGGCACTGCGTAGAGATGTTGCATCTCTTTGCGTATTTTATCGCATCTATCACGGGGAGTGCTCTGAGGAATTGTTCGGACTAATTCCAGCCGCTCAATTTCACCATCGCACGTCGCGACAAAACTCGCGTTACCATCCATACCATCTGGATGATTGGCGGTCCACCACTGTGCGATTTAGAAGAAGTTTTCTCCCTCGCACAACTTCTTTGTGGAATCAATTACCACCAGCGAATTTTCCGAACCGATACGACTTAGGAACCTTCAAGAAAAGAGCTTACACCTTTCTAAAAGGCCGGCAACGCATCTGCAATTCCCCTGGTGTTGCGGTTGTTCATGGGCGGCGGTAGTCACTTAACATCAGGTGAGCCGCATGCTCGTTTGCCCCCTATTCTATATAAAAAAAAAATATATATAGTATTGAGCCACGAAACTTTCTCTCCATCTATCGTTTTCTTTCTATTAACTATGTTCCTTTCTAACTTCAACGATGACAAGAAATCTGCATTTTTCATCCTGTGTACATGCATTGGCTTAGTTTTTTTACAAGTTTTCATAACATGGATGTAATCATCCGGTGTATAGAGCCTCTGTTGAAGTTTTAAGGCACATTCTATCTTTCCAAAATCTGAATCGTTTGGGAGAAAGCTATGCCCCGATTCAAGAAATTTTATATTGATCTGGTCTAATGTGGGATGTTCATTTAACATAGCTTTAAGCATTAATGTTAATTTTATGTTGCGGTTCTGGCCACCACACGAATCGCACCATAAAATCAGATGTTTCACGTTGCCATCAAGCCTTTCTGTGATATGTTTAATGAGACAAGACCCCACCTCTTGAGCACCTCAGCCAGCTTCACCTTCTACCCACACATTGCAGTGAGCTTCATCATTGCTCCCAGTGTGTATACCTAAATTGTACACCCAGAGTTGTCTTTTGTAAAAGACGATATTCGTGGGTATGCGCGGTAAAGGCAACGTTTTTTCGAGATCAAAAGTCAAAGTTTCAACAGAGGGATCATCTTTAGCAAGCTTCATGTCAATTTTCAATTGGTTTTGTAGAGATTTTGCGATTTCTTGATGCGCTAAATGCTTTTGTTCAATTTCGGCTCGATTTTGTTCCGATGACGCGTGCAGTATTTGACATTCAAAAAAGTCACACTTATTACACATATCTTTTTTAAGAGACTTGGTACGCAGGTTAAACTTAGTAAAAAACAATTTATTGACTTTTGCAGTAGATAATATCTTCACGCCAGCTGCTTTTGCTTCATCGCTGTATAGCTCATTTATTTTTGATAAGGTCATGTCTGCTCTCAAAAATTTAGCCCCGTCTGTTTTTTCTCGGCGATAGTGGGATATATATGTCGGCAACTTTTTAATAAAATTTATCACGAACTCCTCACTTTCAGGAGATGCTCTATTGCGCCCGCCATGCACACCACGATTATCTGTAATGCGACTTTCTGACCGCATCTTACAAAGTGACGTATTAATTCTTTTTGCTGACGTCTGCAATGTTTTGACGAAGATATCTCTACAAACTGATACACCATCTAGAAAATATTGGCGTGAGTAAAACTTTTTCTTTGAAACATTGGTTTTATTGTCTGTTGCAACGTAATGACGCTTCACAGGTTGTTCTTTTACTAAAGCAGTTAAAAGCATATTTTGCGCATTATACGATCCTAGAGAATAAAACTTTTTAAATTGAGCCAATCTCTTTTCTACGGTGACATTTTCGTGGCACTTTTTTACACAACAACATTGAAAATCTATAAATTTCTTAGGACTGACAATCTTTTTCCTCGAGTTGACGTAAGACAGATTTGTGTACTTTCGTGTTTTCCTTTCTTCTCGCGATAGCCCACCATATTTTGGCTTTCTACCTTTTTTTGGTCTTCCCATGGGCTGTCTTTCAGCCAGTGATGACCCGGTTTCGTGAACAGAAAAAGTTCTTTTACGTGAGCAATCATTATTCGTGTTAGCATTGTCAGATATTATAGGAGTTTCTAAAACAGAAACCATATTTTCATTATCGACTTGACCAATTTCCTGTTCAGTACTATGAGGTCCTAAATTAACTGTGTCTAGTTGATGACTAGCGCTCATGTTTATTTGGTTAGGTATTTGGTTGCTTTCTGCACGTGCAGTACCAGTCATCAAAGATATTAAATCATTAGAGCTATCATCACTCGAGCTATAATCCACATTAGCACAATAGTTAAGATCTCTCACCGAATCGTCGCTATCAATAAATAATGGATCTTCGCCATTTCTTATGCTTGCGATTGTTGGTGTATCAGATGTACCTTCAGTGTTGGAATTATCCATCGAATCAGCTAGAATCTGAAACAACGTTGCCGTTTCCGGAGACATAAGAGGAAGCGGTGAAATTAGATTGACAGATTCGACATTTTTTTCAGCAGAAGTCTCAGTGAGCGATTTAGAGGTTAATAAAGCATTATTGGCATTGATATCTGCCCACACAGCTCCAGAAATTTCGTTATTTTTAGCAATTAGAGGCGTCAGCGGTGAGTATGGAGGTGGTTCTATACTTTTTTCAACAGTAGTCTCAATATCATCATTACCAATAGGATTTATATTTGGCCATAAAGCTCCAGAATTTTCATTATTTTTATCAATGACTGGGCGAGGGGTCAGCGGTGAGTATGGAGGTGGTTCTATGCTTTTTTCAACAGCAGTCTCATTATCATCATTATCAACAGATGTTGATATAGTTTTACTATTTTTAACCAAATTAGTAGCTAAAGACAGCTGGGGAGATACAGAACACTCTTCAGCAGTGATAGTAAGTAATTTAGTAGATAAATTAGGTTTAGCTCCATCACCCCCTTTGCAAGTATTTTTTTCATGTGAATTATCAACGACAACGTCCGTACTAAATCTTCTTCGCGTACCCAGCAAATCTAGAATGATAACCCTCTGTTAATTACAATTTGCTAATTCAAACATGCTTATTGAGTCGATTAAGCCTTTTGTATAAAATTCTATAACGGTTTACTGTATAGATTCTATAATGGTTTACTATATGGATACTAATGGTTTAATTATTTTTGACCAAAAAATGTAGTTTCGCCTCTTTGTGTATTACAGCAGTATACCAGTTAAGTACTAAAAACAGCATGCAAAAAAGGTATGCAAAACATTCAGGAATAATATAAAAATTACCTGAAGAAATCTGCATTGGACTGCTTGGTCGAGAGTTATCATAAAAATCTGAAAAAAAGGAATAAAATATTAAGTAAACTATCACATTACTAACTATAAAATGTGGATACGTAATATTATGTATGTAAATACAAAGAATCTGAACTATTACAACCCTATTTAAACAAAGAGTCCAACAAACTAAAATAATGACTCAGTAAAAAGTTTCATTAAGAAACCACATAAAGTTTTTATAACCTCAAAATTATTTACATACCTTGATTGTCATTCTCTTTATCTTCTGAATGGTTGAGGCAGTTAGAAATCATAGTTTGTATCCTGGTATTCACCCTCTTCATTGTTGGAAACAGTAAATTAGTTTATAAATCCCACAACAAACCGAACGTTTCTGTTTTTTTAGACACAGTGTAGCTATTGTTAATGTTTTAATTACATATTATTAAAATTTAATAAAGTTGCTATATTCATACCATAACAAAATTGCCACACAAAATATGGTTATCTTAAAAAAATTCAATGAATTTAGAAAAACTAGTTAATTACAATAATGTATCTAGGAATCACTGACTTAGATAAATAATATTCTCAATGAATTCATTAAACAACACAGATTCAAAGAACATGAATTATTAGTTGTTGTAAATTGCTTTATATTAACAAGGAACCAAGTAACATGAGTCCTTGTAGAAATATAGGATTAAGCTATTTTTATTATGCAAACAGGAACCAACCCGCATGGTTCTATATTATTGATAAAAATAATATTTTATAAAGGACCATGTGGTATGGGTCTTTATGAAAAAAAACAATTTCAATGATTTTTTAGATTGTCAGGTTACCATCGGGCATGGATCTTGTTTGTTTATTGAACAACTGTTGTTATGTGGGTTGTGCGGGACAAGAGAAAAACAAATAGTGATACATAAATAAGACAAAAACATTTATATTAATGGAATAAATATTATATAGTTAGTTTGTACTTAGATAGGATAGACATTTATATTAATAGAGATTATAGTTTAGATAGGATATAAGCATTTTATGTTAAGAAAATAATAGTGTAGAGCTTATATTTGTGTAATAAAATTAGTTGGTCACTTTGTATAACAGAACTAGCTTAAGGTAAACAATATAAACAATGACTCAGTAAGATATAGAACTAGCTTAAGACAAACAATGTAACGGGACTCAGCATCGTCACTTGCTCTGTCACGCCTCGCGCTGATTGGTCGACGCCATTTGTACGATGCGTCGGCCGTATCCATTGACCCAGCCCGAGGCGGTATAAAAGAGGGGCGATTTTCGTCGTTCGACACAGTCGGCGGCCAGCTACCTCAAGGAAAACACCAAATATAGAAGAAAGAAAAATATCACAGCGGTTTTATTCTCCACCAATCCAGCACACAAATGTGCCTGTAGGGCACATTTAATGGTCCTTCGCCAGCCGAATCTTGTGGGGAATAATTACCTGAAGAAAAATAATTAAGAAGACTCCTCGGAAATCGTTTTTCAAGACTCAAGATTATTCGAAGAAAAAGTCAGCTAACAGCATGGCCGTTACGCGCTCTGAGGGAAGGGGCAGCAAGCCGTCGTCGTCCAAGGCTACCACCTCGGCGACCGGTACCACCAGTGCGGAAGCCAGTACGGAACCAACAGCTACAGGGACGACCGCCACGGAGACTTCGGAGTATACAGACACCTCCGCGGCGACTGATCCATCCACCGTGACTTCCGCCACCGCAGCGACCACTTCGTCCGCCGCCACCTCAGCCTCAGCCGCAACCGCCGCCCCCGCCACGCACCCCGCCAGCGCCGTCGCTCCTTCCGTAACACCATCCGCGGCGACGACACTAACTGCGGGTGCGAAGGCCAAACAGCTGATGAAGCCGCCCGCTACTGTCACCAGAGCAACTCACCGAGAAACAGAAACTTCTACAGTGAAGCGAGCCATAAGAAGCACCGCCGGTCCATCAAAGCAAACCGGGCTACAGGAACCCCGCCCGCCCAGCAAGAAGGGAGGTGGAGGGGGATCTACACGCAGTAGAACGAAGCAGCTCAAGCTTGCAAAGGCGAAAGAAGATTTACTACGCCTTCAAGTGGAATTAGCCGCAGCACGCCTTGCTGCCTTAGAAAGGGAAGACTCAGAAGAGGAGGAGGAAGAACAAGATGACGCATCCCTCTACTCAAGATCAGAAGTCAATACAAGAGTGGACGACTGGTTGGAGAATCAAGTGAATCGCCCGGTGTTAGCAATCACCAACGAACCTCACCAGGCCATAGAAGAACCAACAGCCGCCCACGCAGAAGAACCAAGGCACGAAGAAACACATCAGTCACCGGCGGGAGGTCAAACTGACGTAGCCCTCCTGGCTGAAGCCATCACTCGGGCTGTCAGCGCCGCCCAACGACCTAAGTTCGTCGAGTTACCATTCTTCAGCGGGTCGCATCAGGAATGGCTACCCTTTCGCGCCGCCTACTACGAGACAGAAGCGACATTCAGCGTAGTTGAAAATACGAATCGACTCAGAAGAAACTTGAAAGGGAAGGCCAAGGAAGCAGTTGAAGGCCTACTTATGACAAACGCACACCCGGCTGAAGTAATGAAGACTTTGGAGTCAAGATTTGGAAGACCAGAGTCAATAGCCATGCTGGAGATGGAGACGCTTAGAGGTCTGCCGCGCCTTACTGAGTCACCAAGAGACATATGCATATTCGCCACCAAGATCTCCAACGTAGTGGCGACACTGAAGACTTTGGGTTGTTTTAACTACATGTACAATCCTGAACTCGCGAAGACAATAGTAGACAAACTGACGCCAACTCTGCGTTATAGGTACTACGACTTCTCAGCCATGCAGCCACGTGAAGACCCTTGCCTCATCAAGATAGAGAAGTTCTTCAAAAGGGAAGCAGAACTGTGTGGACCCTACGCGCTGCCCGAACAGATGACACCGCCTATTACAGCCGCACCACAAAGGAAGACTCAAAGGATCAACAACGTGACTGAGAAGACATACATACCAAGATGCGTCGTATGTGAAGATACGGGGCACACCAACGCCACAGAATGTGAACAATTCAAGAAGTTAGATGCAAATGCAAGATGGGACATGGCCAAGTCCAAGCGCCTCTGCTTCAGGTGTCTTCGCTATAGGAACAAGACACACCACTGCCGACCCAAGCCATGTAATGTCAACTGCTGCAAGTACTCTCACCACAAGATGCTGCATTACGAAAAGAAGTCAGAAGATTCAGAAGCAAAAGAAAATCAAGGGGCAACAGAGGTCATCAACTCAACCTGGACCGTCAAGAAGCAATCATACTTAAAAATCCTACCGATCCAGGTCAAAGGACCAAAAGGAGCTGTCAACACCTTCGCGTTGATGGACGACGGCTCAACAGTCACGCTCGTCGACGATAGTATAGTAACAAGCGTCGGAGCAACGGGCCCCATAGACCCACTGAAGATAGAAACCATCAACGACAAGAAAGTATCGGAGTCAGCATCGAGGAGAGTCACCATCAAACTAAAGGGGCTCAACGATCATGAAGAACAAATACAAGCACGCACAGTGAAGAACCTGCAAGTCTCATCTCAACGGGTCCCACAGGATCTAGTGGAGGAGTGTCAACACCTCTCTGATATCCAAGGACATCTCGCATATGCAAACGCCAAGCCACGAGTGCTGATCGGACAAGATAACTGGCATCTTCTGCTGACATCGGAAGTAAGAAAAGGAGACAAGAACCACCCAGTGGCATCTCTCACGCCACTAGGTTGGGTACTCCACGGCAGCCAGACACGAAGCTTCGGACGGAACATCGATTTCGTGTCACACATCGTAGAAGATCCAGAGGAGAATCTAGAAGACCTCGTGAAGCGATACTTCGAGATGGACGCACTTTGTATAAAGCCCAAGAGACCGAAGACTGATCCAGAAGAACAAGCACTTCGTATCTTGGAAAGGACCACAACGAAGACAGAAGAAGGAAGATTCCAGACCGGTCTTCTCTGGCGCAAAGACGATGTCAAGTTACCAGACAATTACGAAAACTCGCTGAAGAGGCTCTTCAACATAGAAAAGAAGATCGATCGTGACCCCACGTTAAAGAAGAAATACGTGGAACAAATGAACGCTCTCGTCGCAAAGGGGTACGCCGAACCCGCCCCAAAACAGAAGACAGCTGACAAAACTTGGTACCTACCTCACTTTGCAGTAGTCAACCCAATGAAACCGGAGAAATTACGGGTGGTACACGATGCCGCAGCCAAGACCAAAGGGGTGGCACTTAATGACATGCTACTCAAAGGGCCCGACCTACTACAATCGCTACCAGGTGTCGTCATGCGCTTCCGACAACACATGATCGCGGTTACGGCGGACATCAAAGAGATGTTCATGCAAGTCAAGTTGCGAGAACAAGACAGGGACGCACTGCGGTACCTATGGCGTGGGATTCGACGAGACAACCAACCTCCGGAAGAGTACAGAATGACATCATTAATTTTCGGAGCATCGAGTTCGCCTTCGACAGCAATATACGTCAAGAACGCATCACGAAGAGTGTACGAGCCGTGCACATGAAAGCCAGCTTCGAGTTGAAACAGTGGAAATCAAACTCAGCATCACTCCTAGAAACACTTGGAGAAGACAGCCAGACAGAAGACATGGAACTCTACAAAACAGAAGAAAAGATGGAACGAGTTCTGGGTGTTGTTTGGAAGATCCACTCGGACGAACTCACCTTCAACCTCAACTTAGCCAGAATACCCTCAACACTCCTAGAAGGGAAGCAGCCGACGAAAAGGGAAGCACTGAGAATAGTGATGTCGCTCTTCGACCCGCTCGGATTCGCCTCGCCTATCACCATCAGGGCAAAACAACTCCTCCAGGAAGTCTGGCGTAGAGGAACAGCATGGGACGACAAGATCGACGAAGACCTGGCAGAGCAGTGGAAAATGTGGATGGAGCATCTGGAAGGCCTCCACGAAATAGCAATCCCGCGACAATATCTTCACTACAGTGACGCGGCCTCCCTAGAACTCCACGTCTTCAGCGATGCCAGCGAGTCAGCTTATTCTGCGGTCCTCTTTTGGAGAGCTGTAACAGCAGTAGGCGAGGTCCACCTATCCCTTATTGTGGCGAAAGCAAAGGTGGCACCGTTAAAACTGACGTCCATCCCAAGATTGGAGCTACAGGCAGCAGTCATGGGCACCAGGCTCGCAGAAACAGTAGTCGAAGAACACGAGAGGAAACCTGACCGCAAAGTATTCTGGACAGACAGCAAGACAGTACTAACCTGGATAAGGACAGGGTCACGTTCATATAAGCCCTAC